CTTTTCCCTTTCCTGTTTATGTTATTTCTTTTTCATTTTTCTTTTTCTCCTTTTACTTTTTTATTTTCTCAAACCACTCATGTAAATTAATAGCTTTGAGTTACCTAGGCTAGACTAGGGACGAAATCATCTTTTTAATTTCTCATTAGACTTAAAGTCTCGCGGCTAACCTCGGTTTTCCAACCAGGTTGTCCAGGGTGGTTAATATAAAGAAGCATCATACGCAGTATTTAGTATGTACTGATAGAAGTTATTTCTAGCCTTCAGACGGAGGATATAGGCAGAAACAAGGTAATTAATTGGACAATAAAACCGTAAGTTAATACTAATAATAAGTCCTGTCAGCTTGTCGCTCTGTTCTGATCACCCTGAGTGCTCCATAACACGAGCCAAACTAAGGTAGGGTCGCTCACCTGCAAGCTAAACCAGAGGATCTCAAGGCTGACAGTGGAGGTCCAGGCGATTTCGATGAATGCAGATATTGCAAGTTGACATAAATGGTAAGGCGTAGTGGATACCTACAGTCCATGGGTAACCGTGGACGGTACACTAGTATAGCATGGTACTATGATACAACTTGAGTACCCATCAGTCTGTAATAATAAGACCAATTGAAACGATCATAGTAATAGCAATTTGCAACGCTTAAGTAAATTTGTGATGACCATAGGCGCATTATACTCTCCTTGAGCTGCTTTGGCAACTGACGATCTGCATGTGGGTAAGACACTCTCTCCAATAAAAAAAAAAATCAAAAACGGGAATAGTATAATCATAAACCAAAGTTTGGTCTCCGCCTGATCACTAGCTGTTTTCCATGCTCTATTCCATACTTTAGGAGAGTTCGATCAATATTGGTCTGTTTTACATGCAGCCGAGACTCTTGACACCTTTTCCTTTTTCGCTTACCTTCTCTCTTTCATTCATGTCCTCGTCTCAGCCTTTTTTTGCTTGGATCTTTGGTGGGGAAAGGCTAGAGATCCCGGCATGATCGACTCATCGGTTACTCTTACTGCGCCTTGTTATCTCTGTCCGCCGAATAGAATCTTATCATAAAAGTAATATCGGAATGGTATCAGGGCTATTTACAAAAAGACCACATTCGGGGGAGGTGGTACGGCATGAGGCTTTGCGATTGGTCCGCGGTCAAAGCTTACCTTGAACGGTGTTTCAAATTCCGCTCTATGCTTAGTTAATATTTATTCAACTTAGAAAGAAAATATACTTGGTGGCTCGCATTTATTGGATGCGGGAATAGTTGGTGGTAAGATTGGACACAGCAGAGTTTTGACCTAGGGGAACCTGAAAAATTCTTGGCTTACACAGCAACGAGGAATGACAGCCTGTTAACAGATTTTATCATCCGACAACTCCGTATACCCGCATGTTAAGATCTCTGTCAGTGGAATTGCTGGGAAGCGCAGGCTATGGCCTCACCACACTACTGTAGCTTATACATTAGCTCCAACCCTAGTTGATTGGTATCTACTGTATAGTTCGGAGCTGGCTATGAGATAAGACTGGGTGCTAAGAGAAGAAGCCACAGTATTAAACGATATTCTACTGCATGCACATGTTAGTCCATGTACTCTCTAGCTAGTACTACCCTATCAGGCTATTGAATATCAGGGTCGCTTCCAGGGTCTAACACACGAGACCAAAAACAGTTAGCATCCTCAATTTTAGTATTGACTTTCTCTGACCTACAGCCCTCCACGATGGGGGCCAAATAGATGGGTTGAGGCTGTGATTGGGCAAGACTAAAGATGTATGTCTCAGACCAAGCCGACGAGGCCGGATCAGCCGCGCCCTTAATTCGGCCATGGCCGTCTTAGTGAACCAAGGGACCACTCATGGCTGAAGCTGGTTTGCGAGTGAACGCACTTCGACTCAGTAAGTCGTAGTAGGTACTCCGTACTAGATAGTTACCACCTTTGCCCCGTTCTCATTCTTGCTTTTTCGCAGTTTTTGTATCAACATGGAAGTACTGTTACAGAATAACGCTATCCACGCCCGTGCTTCCTCATCGATAGGTCTATTTCTTCTTGGCAAGAAACCTCATGTGCCCAGCTAGCTCTAGTGGCCTGAAAACGACAGGGCTTTGTAATTTGTACTTACATGATTAATTCCCTCCTACATTGTCATATGTTCAGGGTTACCAGAAAGTTTACACATTCTAGCATGTTTCTAGAACCCCTCTTGTCCTACTGAAGGGTGGCTTCTCTTCACTAGAATTTTATTCATGTGACTGCCCCTTCTTGCCACAGACTTTCTTGGTGAAACCACCAAGCTGCATGGGTCTCGCAAGTATCTCATGATGCAAAGTGACGGCGAGTTTGTGGCGCCAAGTGGCGACCTATTGGTGTTTCCTTTCGCTTCAAATTCCTCAGAGTGTATAAACCATTTATACATAAGTGAACATGTTCGACTGAGATGGTGATAAAATGGACCGAAGTATTATTAGATGAGCTACCTAGTAGCGTCTGAGGCAAGCTAAACACTCGGCTTATATCACCATCATGTATTCCACGCTAAATCCAGATTTTAGTGGCAAATAGTGATGAACCTTGGATCAAGAGATGTGCAGCTCAGCGACAGATCATTCCTAAAGGATAAAAAAACGTAAAGACTGGCACATACACCAAGGCTCTGGGTTGACTACGTGGGGTGCTCTCCAAAGCCTCGTTTGAGATCCTTGACAACCGGTAAATAACGCACCGTTGGGACGGTGGATTCTCTAGATACTTAGTCTCTTATGAAGTACACCGAATGGATACACGCAGCACCACTACTGTGGGCACGGAGGAATACTTTTTACACAGTAGTATGGGCTTGCATACCCAGCAACTCTGTATTATGCTGTATTGTACAACTTCTATCTCTACCCCATCTACTAGTAGGAGTTCAGGGCACTTCAGATGAGTTCTTTATAGTCTTAGTTTTATGCAAGAGGATCCATCCTAGTCAACACGATTACAAGGAACTTGGTATAATGTGCTGTGTCGTCATTTTCGTCGCTCTTTCAACACAGAAATTTGGTTCCTGAATATCCTGTATTGTGTCTGGACCATTGACAAAGTCCAAGGCAGGAAACTCTTTATTGCAGCATTGTAGCATTCCTCAATTATTGAAGGGGAAAATGGAAAAATAGAATAGAATTAGAATAATGTTTAGGATCCTGTTTTCTCTTTATTTTCATTCTTTTCTCACTTTCTTAGTTCTAAAGAAAAAAGTTTTCTTTTCTTCCTTTTTTTTTTTTTCTTTTTTATAGGAAAGAAAAAGGGTCTCAAAACGTGTATATTACAAATAATCAGCATTAAATATTCTTCTTTTCCTTTGATTTCTAAGAGAACCAAAGAGGAGGGAAAGGGAATAACACTACGGAGGAGTGGTGGTCCACTTGTCCCGTACTATCGCAAATCCGCAAACGGTCCATGCCTACGGCCTTGAGCTGCCGACACTGGACAGTGACCTGACTCCGCATCACCTAAATTAAACTAACCCACTGTAGAGTTAGTGGCTCGGTAGAAAGTATGTCCATGGGCTAGACTCGCACCAGTCGGCTTGAACGGACTCAAATTAGGCTCCGAGGCCCTGAAAACAATGACAGAAGCTCTCGCTCATCGTTTTAGGACAGAACCATTTCGTCAATGGAAGTAGTAATGTTTGTCCCAAACCGTATGAACTGCGGTGAGTGCTTCATCTGTGGAGTTCCCATGAAACATGTTTGTTACTCATGTCTGATGCTATATCTCATGTTGCCTAGTAATATCTATAGTAGCCCTTTGAAAATTAGGTAAAGAGGTTTGCAGTATCTGTCGCTATCAGGATCATCGCACAAGGAACCGCTGTCAATCCGGCCCTAGACGTTCAGTAATTGGCCCATCTTCCAAGGTCGGATCTTGGCGCCTTTTTACTTCCGAGGTCAAATTCTGAGTTATCGGGGAATACTTTTGCTAAGAGAATCCTTTTTTTTTTTTTTTTTTTTAATAAGAAGTACTTAAAAAAATAAATAATAAATAAAGGGTAAGAGAAAAAGACCCTCTAACCAACTCGCTCTCCACCTGCTAATCAAGGCCCGCATTCGTGTTCCTGCGCCAATACCAGACAGCGCGTGGATCATCCGAAATCCGATCTGCTTTGCTCTCTAGGCATCCATCTAACTTCATCCGCAAAATTCCCCTGTATCCCTTGGACTGTCGAAACCTGAGCTTGAAAGATTGATTGGATATGTACTCGTACATGAGGACCCATCGTATCATCCTTCAAACACTGAAACAAATCTCCGAAGAGTAAGGGATCTTCCAAATTTATAGAGTCAATTAGATAAACATATACTAAAACGAAATAGTTTCCAGGAGCTACAAGATAGTGGAAACCCAAGAAAGCTTCTAGTAACAGAAACCAGTACATAGTGGATATCATATGGCCTCGAACTGCCCAAACTGTCCAAACAATAAGAGAGGTGGAAGTCAGGGGGGAAGAAAAGAAAAGAAAGACGTATGGAAAAAAAAAAAAAGAAAGAAAGGGGAATCTTCTAAGACGCGGTCATCATTGTCCAGGTCGCAGCGTCACAGTTAACTTCCTCAAAGCTGTGTAGCGTACTGAAACCCATTATTCCGGATAGACTGTCGAAATTGCTGTCACCATCAACCTGTTTTACAAGTGTCAGTATAAAGGCTACCAAACGGTTTAAAAGAGGGTGTACCCACACAATCCATAATGACGCTATCAGCACCCTGTTTACGGTGCTGTTTGATTCCCATGAAAATCAGCCCCTGCATTACTGTGGCATACTCACCCACGGAGGGTGATATAACTGGGGAAGAAATGCCCCCCGTGGACGAATGCATGGCTTTCAGGGCAGGCATATGCTCCGCCAAGGTAGCTCGTCCGTTGTAAATGACCACGCTACCTAGGATTGCCCCATCACCAGGACGCGTAGCCCTTATAATCCCGCAATTAGGCGCTCCTCCAAGGGCTACCTTATAGATATCTATGACGCCTTGTCTAGAATTAGTTTTGATATGGTCAAGGATTGTGTCTGCATAATCCCATCCATATACGAGGTCGTAGATCACATCCGCATTCTGCAGTCCTTGGATGAGTACATTTGGCGGCTTCCAAGATGACAAGCTGCGCAACACCACACTACAAACGGGCCGCGAGAGGGCTGTGTTCCATCCTAAATTTGCAAACCATTGCCGAAGCTTCTTCCTCTCGACAGGGTTTGCAGACGGAATACCTAGATATATCCCCGGCAAGCGAGAGCCTAGCTGAAACCTCTTGACACCTTTTCGTTGGAGGAGTGTTCGGATAGCGCGGTTGTGGAGGGAAGCCCCAATTGATAGCTTCCGTCTTGCCGGGTCGACAATCAAGGCCCCAATGACGCCCGTGCCTGTGGACCGAAAGAAGTATGTCGAGCAGAAACCGTACAGGGCTTGGGTACTGCTATTTCGTACAACAAAATGAGCTTCATCAATTTCTTCTCTCCGCAGAAGGAAGCTGCAAGACGTCACACCCAGCAGTTCTGAGCGTTGCGCCTGAGTACAGTCCTCTCTCACCGCATCTAAGAGGGAATCCAAAGCATGCGAGTCCCGTTCTTCGTTCCAATTCTCCACCAGCCAGTGCTGTCTTGCTTGATGGAGCTTCTGGCTGCGATTAATGGATCCTGGCAATGAGCCCATGGGGATTATCTCCCCGTAAAGAATCTTAACTAGTGCCTCTAGAGCCGTCTCCGTAAAATCATAGGTGCAAATATAAGTCCCGATGGAGGGATCCATTGCGAAATCGTATGGTGAACTGGCAGCAATAACGATCACAGGCTTCTCGCGAGATTCGCCGGAAGGCGTGAACTGCGACCGACAAATCATAGATACGTGCTTAGTAAAGCCATATTGGTATTGGTTTCTGTTAGCATCTGCAGTGACTACGATGACCGCACTGGCCCGGTCTATCAAGTTTTCGTGGATCGGGCGGACGCCATTGGCTGTGTAGGAGGTATGCAAAACACGCCCATTTCTTTGCCGTGATAGTGACCTCCCTAGTTCCTTGAAGACACTCTCACCACTCAACACAGAGGAAGTCCGGTCCCATGTCATGGGCTCAATAGATAAATTCAGGTGCTCGGTGACTGAGCGAGACACTGCAGAAGCGGGTAATGGCTTGACCAATGGGGTCAGAAGCAACAATTCTTCACTGGGCTCAATGATGTTGGACAAGGGTAAAAGAGTTTTCTTATCTCGAACGACAGTGATAGAGCTGTTGTACGCTCTAGTGGAAAGAGTGGTATGGGAAGGTTGCATCTGGGTGAGTGAGGAAAGACCCGGAGGATTGAGAGCGAGTTCCCAGGAGGTGCATTTCGCCTTCATGCTCAAAACTCTGCGTAATGACTGTTCTATGCGAGCTCTGCCAATGATACCATTCTCCACACCAAGCTTTAATCCAGTGATCGCCTCCTGCTGCACTGGGAATGACCTGCAGAGAAGAACGATGTCGCAGCCCGCCTTCTTTGCCATGACTGTCCCACCACCCACCCCAATATTATGAGTGAGTGCTTCCATCTCCAGGCATTCTGAAACTACCACACCGTCAAATTTCATCTTCTTGCGCAACAGATCATCGACAACTTGCTCACTCAGGCAAGCATGCATCACGTGAAACCCAGCAGACGACATGGAAACGCCTCCCACCATCATGGAATCAATTCCATGGAGTATGGCGTTTCGAAATGGAACTAGTGCACTCAAACTGAGCTGTTCTAGCGACTCGGTGATGATAGGGACGTCTGACTGGGATCCAAGAAATTCAAGGTTACCGTATGACGGGAAATGTTTGCCACATGTCACCAACCCTGCTTCCTTATAACCTTTCATGAATTCCACTCCGTAGTGCGATACCTCTTGGGGATCATCACCCGTGGTACGAACCCCTAAGGGTTGGCTTCGTACGTTGGTCAAGACATCTAGCACGGGGCCCAGAATCCAGTTGATTCCTACAGCCTTCAGTTCTTGGGCAGTTGCAACAGCGACATCACGGGCGAGAGATTTAGAGCCCGTTGCAGCAATTCCCATTGCGCTGGGAAATTGTCGGATGTAGATTTCATCGTAGAGACTGTTCACACCTCCATTTTCCTGGTCCAAGGCGATGAGTAATGGCACCGGATGACCGGCATCCCGAGCGATTGTCTGGAGCTCGAGGACTAGTCGCGTGGCATCTTCTGCAGCTAGAAGTAAATTAGTGGTTATCGTATATGTGATGCGTCCGTAGGAAGGTAAGATAGACACAAGAACAAAATCAACGATGAGAGAGGAAGGCAGAGATACATTTCAAATTCTTGGCAGTCAGTAGGATCGAGCCCAGGTGATAATCCTCAATGAGAGAGCGAATCTGAGGATCAACGGACGTTCCATCAAAGCCCATCATAAAGAGCTGCCCCATCTGCCTGTCAAAAAAGCCATAGTACTCAAATTGTTAGCGAGGACCATTAATCCGGTAAAAGGACACTAAGTTCAATATAGCAGATAAGAATCGGAATCCAGTAAAACAGTGGCGAAGGGTAAAAAAAAAAAATAAAAAATAAAAATAAAAAATAAAAAAGGGGGAAGAGAAAAGAAAACAAAGAAAAAAAAAAGAAACAATACTGGATTGCAAAGGCAAAATGTGAATAGCTGCAATCGGTCGTGACCACTCCGCAAGCGGTGGTGCACAGTCCATGATGGAGAACCGCGTGCCAGACAGAATCGCTGCATACCTGTCTAGATCATCCCAGCCAGGGGGCAGCATGTCCTCTCTTGGGGCCATGAGGGCCCTGAATAAGGAATGCCAGCTTAGTATCTAACACAACGAAATGGGCAAGGGTAATATGGCCCACACTGTGACCATCAGATTTCAGGATCGATATTGGGTGGGCAAAAAGATTAGGTTGGGACACACGCCGCAAACGATGTCGGAGAATACGGCAAGGGCTAAAACCGGCAGTTGGATACTACAAATCAGCTTTGGAATAGGCTAGTCAGGATTCATCTGAGTATGACCAGGGGCAAAGGACTGGACTGCGGAAGGCTGCAAGCTATGAGCAGCTTCAACAGGTGGTGGTCAGTGCTTGACGAATGATAATGCATGGAGAGTGTGGGGACGAGAAGAAAGCTAGCTTTCTGATCAAGCAAGAATAGTATAGTATTGAAAAGGTCTAGAGTACTGGTATTGGTAATATTTTTTTGGACTTTCGATCCAGGAGAGTAGGTACTGGTGCAGTGACCATAGTGACACTCCCAGAGAGAAAGGTTTTTATCCCTCACGTCTGTATAATAGATGTAATATTCCTATTAGTAGGTTGTTGCATCCTTGGCAGTACCTACTGACATTCGTTGAGGGGCGTTGGTACTGAAGGAAAGCCCGACGGGGTCACCTGGTTAGATCACGTGTAAATTCTGTCTTCTTGGTACCGGTAATACGTCGTACCATACCAAACCGTCCTATCAGTTTTTATTACTAGTCAATACCAGTGTATTGACTTGAGATTACACAACAATCTTGCCTACCCACCAAGAGTTCCGTCAATCGATACGACGCCACAGCAGATAAGAGAGGGTTGCATGGGGGCTCCGATCCCTTCCCCCGGTTTCCCGATCCTACCGAATGCAACGGAACTGTCAAGCAATTCGGACTGTGATTACCCATTCTATTCTAGGCTTAGTGGCCCCGGACAGCTCCCATTGATATCTGTACTATGCCACCCCCTCGTGCAACATTACGTCGAAGTGAAGGATGGGCCGTTGTCTTCACTGTTTCCTGGGTAGCTAGGGTACGATCTATGACAAAAGCTATTCATTTCCTGACGCGGATACTACTGGTTGATTGGATGCTCTACCATAGCCAGTGGGAAGTGTATGCGTCATCAGTCCACTGCAACGATGCTACTCTTTCCTCAGCAACAATGGTATTGAACATACAGGAAGGCGAAGGAATGGGGTCTGAGTCCCAGACATAGTAGTATACCCCGTTGTATGTCTTGTTTATCAACCATTTGGAGGTACTGTATATGGATTGTTATTACTCTTTCCGGCACGGGCCTCCAGTTGTGGAAGAGGCATGGGTCAAGTGACATTCATCACTCATGGTCGGAGGGGGGGGGGGATGAAAATCAGACTGTGATAACAGCAGTGGAAAAGGCAGTATCATGCCGTCACACTCCACAGCCGATCCTAGGGCCTGACAGGTAACTGTAACAGGCCCATTAGTGGATGGGGCAGATGGCCACCTCCCATATTACTTGCCTCTTTGTCCACAGTCCTCTTTTCTCCTTGCTGTTCATATTTCTTTCTGTTCCAAGATATCTTTTGGTCTCCTTTCCCGTACCAAACATCTTCGATTGCCTGGCATATATATCGTTCATCCTTTACTTCGAGAAAGAGAAAGCCCCAGGCTTATCCAAAGACTTTCAGCTCTGCCCCACTGCGTTGTCGGTGACGTAGTCTTGTTCATCATGTATGGCAGTATCTGTTGTTCCCCAAGCTGGGTTGAACTAGGCCTAAAGCTAACCACGTTCCTTCTTTGTGCACAGGAGAGTAATTATCAGAGAAACCGCCCTGGAGGCTTCAGAATACATCGCGGATTATATTATCAGTATGCCATTGCCTCAGTTGGCATGCTTGGGTTCTTTCTGACTTCTCCTCCTAGGTCGCATCAAAGCCTTTAAGCCCACACAAGATCAGCCTTTTGTTCTTGGTCTTCCGACGGGTAGTAGTCCCGAAGTCATCTACAAGACCCTCGTGCAACGTCACAGAGCGGGAGACATTTCTTTTAGGAATGTCGTGACCTTCAATATGGTAGGTTCCTGTCATATTTGCTATAGTCATACCCTCTATCAATGAAATCAAATGTGCTAATTATCGCAGGATGAATATGTCGGGCTACCTCGCGACCACCCTCAATCATACCACAGCTTCATGTATAAACATTTCTTCTCTCATGTTGACATCCCGCCTCAGAATATCAATATCCTCGATGGGAACGCCTCTGATCTTGCTGCTGAATGCGCCTCTTTTGAGGCAAAGATCGCCCGCTACGGCGGTATCGAGCTATTCCTGGGTGGCGTTGGTCCAGACGGACACATTGCATTCAACGAGCCAGGATCGTCCCTTAGCAGTCGCACTCGAGTTAAGACCCTGGCTTACGACACGATTTTGGCAAACTCTCGGTTCTTTGGCGGAGACGTGGACCAGGTGCCCCGAATGTCCTTGACCGTTGGTATTCAAACAATCATGGAAGCTCGGGAGGTCGTTATTGTGGCCACTGGCGCTCACAAGGCACTGGCAGTGGAGAAGGGCCTCGAAGGTGGTGTCAATCATATGTGGACCCTTTCAGCCCTCCAGTTGCATCAGCATCCGCTGATCGTATGCGATCGGGATGCGACACTGGAACTCAAAGTCAAGACAGTCCGATATTTTGAGGCGATTGAACAATCAGGTACTGATGCGCGTACGCAAGGGCCGCCTCTTGTTTACCGGCCGAGGACCTACGTCCCTGCCCCTATGGGGACGAGCAAAACGAATCAGCAACCCACCCCAGCGTCGACACCGCCAAGGGTTCCCAAGGACCTGAGAATCAATACTCAGCTCAACCAGACATTAGATGACGAGGAGTTGACGCCTGATAGCATGTCTTCCCGAATGGTCGATTCAGCCATCAGCGGACTCGACTCGACCTTGAAGGGGGATCTGATGTTTGACCGCATGGGCACTCGAGTCATCTCGCACTGATCAAACACGGCAAGGACCCAAGGTAATATAAGGCGTACACTGATGGTTGGGCGAAAGCGTCCCGAGTTAGTACGCTGTTCTCGACAAAAGTACGTGGGCCATATGTAAAATTGCCGATAAAGCGCTCTATTTTGTTTCATTTGTTTTGGAGTAGGGAACAGTTTTTTATTTGATAGCCTGGATGGACCTATCGGGAAATTTTTTACTTCTTTTTTTTCTTCTCTTATTATTTTTTTTTTTTTTTGTTTTCCTATTCCCTCTCTTCTTCACCAATATTCTAGACGGTTTGGTACCAGGTGCTTCTATCCCTACTTAAGGAACTTTTTTTTATAAAGAATAGATTAGACAATGATATGCGTCTGTGTTTTTATATAATTTTGTGGCCAAGTTCATTGTCGTAAAGTGTGCATGTATGGTTCATTTGTCTCAAGTCACATATATCGTGAAGTGCTTAGGAAAGAAAATAGACATAAGTAATGGCTCCAACTATTTTTTAAAACATCTATGTGCCAGTCATTGCCTAGAGCTTAGCAAATACAGTTGCTACAGCACCATTCATATCGACAAGAGTGCTCTTGTTCTTCACCCAAGCTTCAATACCCCTACGGCCGTTCTCAACGCCGAGACCGCTCTTCTTCCATCCACCCACTGCCATTTCAGCCGGGCTTTCTCCCCAGGTGTTTACCCAAGTAATACCCGCCTGGAGTTGGTCGATAATGCGATGGGCCAAGTTGACATCCTTGGTGAAGACACCTGCCGCCAGGCCAAGCTCGGTAGCGTTGGCCCGTCGGACGGCTTCTTCAATGGTCTCGTAGTACAAAATCGACATTACGGGGCCAAATATCTCTTCCTTGACAATAAGCATGTCATCCTTGCAATCAGTGAAAATGGTGGGCTGGACCCAGAATCCGTTCTCTAGCTCCTTTGAAACTTGAGGCTTGCCAAGCCCGCCGTAAAGGAGGGTAGCCTTGTCCGTCTCGATACCATGACGAATATAGGAAATTACCTTCTCACGATGGACGGCGGAGCTCAAGGGGCCGAAGTTGGTAGCTTCATCGAACAAGGGGCCGGGGCGAATGTACTGCATCTTTTCGAGCAAGTGGTGCTCGAAAGCTACTTTCATGCTAGAAGGCACAAACACACGGGTGCCATTGGTACAGACCTGACCGGTACTGTAGAAGTTGGCCATCATAGCTCCATCGACAGCATTTTCAAGCTCTGCATCAGGAAGGATAACCAGAGGGCTTTTCCCTCCAAGTTCCATGGTTACATATTTCATGTTGCCAGCGGCGGAACCGGCGACCTTCATTCCAGTGGCCACCTGGCCAGTGAAGGAGACCTTGGCGATTGTTGGGTGGGAGGTCAGGTAAGCACCAACATCACCGGCACCATAAACAATGTTGAACACACCATCAGGAAGTCCAGCTTCCTTGTAAATCTCTGCCAAAGTCTGCGCATGAAGCGGTGTAAATTCACTGGGCTTGTAGACCATGGTGTTTCCAGCAGCAAGGCAAGGGGCGGATTTCCAGAGGGCACTGTTTCAGTTAGCCATGATTCAAGTTGTGGTGCGGGTAAAACTGCGCTGGCAATAACCAATTGGATGTCATACATTTGGATGGGATAATTCCATGCACCGATTCCCACACAGACTCCCAAAGGAGCCTTCTTAGTGAACACCCAAGCGTCTTCTCTCAGCTGAGTGGTCTCCCCGTTCAGACCACCCCCTCCAACAAGGTTCGCATAGTACTCCAGAACGTCAGCGCCTGTGACAACATCCACTGTACTAGTTTCTGTGAAAGCCTTCCCGGAATCTAGAGATTCAACCCGAGCGATTTCGTCATTTCGTTCACGGAGTATAAGAGACGCCTTCTGGAGGATACGCGCGCGAGCAATAGGAGGGGTTTGTGACCAGGAGGGAAATGCTCGGTCAGCAGCAGCGATAGCTGCGTCAATATCAGAATGGGAGGCAACTTGAATTTCGGCAAGCGGGGTGGCGTCGGAGGGATTGACAGATTGAAAAGTCTTGCCGGATGAAGCAGACTGAACTTTGCCGTCATAAAAGAGTTGGCGTGGAGGGAGAGGAAGAAAGGACATGGTATGCGTCAATATCGAACTGGTTAGAGTGTTAGTTTTCTAAGAGGGGTGGTGTATGGAAGGAGGGGGGTTCGTATGTAGGACCTCTAGTTGTGCCAATTTATATCATACTACAGACTATGGTATCTTCTCGGTATGACGGAGAAGGGGAAGAAAAAAAAAGAGGAAGACCTTAAGCTTTACGTATTCCAGACCGCCAAAGCTGTGATTCGCTACCCCTCACCTTTATCTGGGTACTTACATTAAGGCGGCAGGCGATCTTCGGCAGCGGCAAACTGAAGAACAAAAATACTTTTTTTTTCGCCTTCTTCCTCGGTCGGAGTCTCAGGAACGTCCTAAACAACTATCAAACATTTCCGACTAGTAGATGGAAGAAGAGTAATGGGGTCTTCTACCTATTTCGGGATTCTTACGAATCATCCCAAGGTGATCATTCATCCAAGGGCAGTGTTATCTCAAGAATTCAATTGTGGATATTCTCCGTTGAGCTGCCTTGTTGGGTTAACGGTTGGCCCGTGCATTAGTTCGTGGCGTGTTTTAGCGCGAAATCTCGTGTGGGGTTTGACGTCGTGAGGCGGAAGAGAAGTTTCATAGAACTGCATATGGAAGGGGACGTTCTACTGGTAATATAGCGAGTCGTGCCTTTGCTGTCTATTGATAGTAAACTCCAGTGAATAGAAAAAGCAGCAGGGGCGTAGCTTGAGCACCTTTTCCGATTTATGGGGTGCTTCATCAATGAAATCTCAATCATGTTAGAAGTCAATCGAGATGGATGGATACTGATCTATGATTCTCGATGCATATTCCCTATTATCTAATCTGTAGTGGCGGCTCCACTTTCAAGACTTCCATTCACCGCTATTGGTTAACTCATTCCTTTCCAGGTGACCCGCCGAATGAATCCAAAAGTAGGTAAAGATTGGAATCAATGGGGAAAAAAAAAAAAAAAAGAAGTCTATCAGTAGGAAGGAAGTGGTGGTCTGATGGCCGACGGCCGACGGCCTCCATCACCGCATCTTCGTCCTCTAATTTAAAAAGTCGAGGTTATCTCCTCTCTTCATCTCTTCTTTTTCCCTCAAACCACATCTCCTCTTCTCTCAACCTTCTCCCCTCTTACGTATATTATCTTATATCTTTTTTTACGTGGAATTATTGCGTCTCTCTTTCAACATGGCTACCACAAATGATTTCCCCGCCAGCGACATCAACAGCTATGACTATATCATCGTTGGAGGTGGCACGGCAGGCTGTGTCATTGCCAGCCGCCTGGCGCAGTACTTGCCCAACAAGCGTATCCTTGTCATCGAGGGTGGTCCCAGCGACTTCAACGATGACCGGGTTCTCAATTTGAGAGAGTGGCTTAATTTGCTGGGAGGCGAGTTGGACTACGACTATCCCACTACCGAGCAGCCCATGGGTATGTTGCACGCCCTATTCTTCTTCTTTTTCTTTTACTTCTTCTTTTGTGTGTGTGTGTGTGTGTGTGTGTGTGTGTGTGTGTGATTTAAACCTACTGGAGTGGAAACGCAAGTTTTT